GTATATATAGACAAACGGACAAGAAAATTCACCTAACACCCATATGTTTTAATGATAATTATTATTATTATAATAATATTGTCACGCTCATAAGATAATTTTAATGCCTTTATACTAGTCAATAGCCATTTTGAGAAGATTTTAACAAATCTGCTTCTTTCGAACAACTGGGAAACACTTGAATTTTAGTAAGTGATCTTTATATTGAATTATTCTTTTGTCCATGTAAACTATATTAATATATTAGCTAGCTGATTAAACTGCTTTTTATTTTAGAGACAAAACTCCAAACCGGCCAAACATGACTTAAGCAATTAGTGATTAATCTTATGAGCCTAACTGTAATAATATTTTGTCTTTGGTTGATTGTTTTTTTTTGTTGTTGTTTTTTTTTAAAATTAGACCTATTTCTTTTTCTTTCTGTTTTAAAAATACGTTTTAAGGATCGCTACTTGGCAGACGAGAAGCTTGTCAACACACTTAAGGAACTGTGTAATGATGAACTACCGATATAGGCTAGTCGCATAGATGTACACTGTACAAACTCTAAGGCTAGTCGCGACAGAGACAGAAGAGAAAAGGGACATTCATTATATAATCTACGAAACATGGCCTCGATCAGCTCGTACAGCAGAGCATCACATTATGACACAGCAACTGCTCTATAAAAGCACATTGTATAGATCTACAGAGATATAATCACCCTACAGAAAAAAAGAAAAAAAAAAAACTTTTTTAAAATCGATGATTCATCGCCTGCTAAATTCCCTGCCCCCTATCCCAGCTGATGATGGCAGCATGATGCCTGTTACTATTCTCGTATTTCTGCGTGGCCCCTGCTCTTGGTGACACGAAAACTGAAATTAATATTATGGCTTTTCAGCTTTTAAATTCGCAAGCTAATATGAAGACCCATAATTTTGGCTTTAAAATTTTACAACAACCCTAAAGCCTTTTATTTATTATTTATTACTTTTTTAAAACTCTTACATTTTGTCGAAAATTTGGACTTTCGCATTTTAACTTATGAATTGATTCGTTAAATCTGAATGTCGAAATCGTGCATGCACGTTATTTTGAGTCATTATTTACGTCATCGATCCTTTAAATAACTTATTTACCCACGTGACCAAACACAAACCCAAGATGGCGTCGTTCATAGCAGTTCCGCTTAAAAAGACTTATGAAGTTGATTTTGTGAAACCTTTAAGAACTTTTATTCAAAATACCTTCACACAAGCAGATCCAGATGATTATAACCAAGCTTTGTCTGAGTTTAATAAACTCAGGACCACCATGATCACAAAGTCTGTGGACAAGCATGAATCAGCACTTGAGGTCCTCTACCGGTAGGTGATCTCGTAACATCGACATTCGCTTTCTTTCTTCTCCTTCCTCTCGCCCATCCATGTCATTTATTCTTATTATCATGTTGTCCCTGTCGTATTTCTGTTTTCAAGCCAACCATATATCTTTACGGTGATAATTGTGAACCACACTCTGTTGTCGATTGCTTTTAAAACGCTTTGCCATCTATAAACATAAAAAGAGGAGAAAAAAAATCAGTCAAAGATCAGAACCAGGAAGAGGCACAGTGGCACAGTGACACCACAAAATAATAATAATTTAATGGTTAGGCCCCTACTTCTCCCGAGCTATTGAAAATGAACGTTGCGTTACATCTTAACCGGTACCCTGGTATGTTTCCAAAGAGCCGTATCCTTTTTTAGTTGTGTTCTTTACTGATGTACTGTAAAGGAGTCTTGCTCTAATCTAAATTTACAGCGGACTGGCTGCCAGACTTTGTTGACTGTGAATCTTAATTTACTGGATTCTCAGAATTGTTACTTTCAGTTTTGATTTTACTGTAGCTTCAGTCTATAGCCTAATATATAAATAAAAAATGTATCTTTAACACTCAGAATACTGATTATGTATCAAGATAAATTATTGTTGTTCATTTATAATTTAAAATGTTAAATATGCATTGTGATTGTGAGCCTGTTTCTGAGTGCAAGCATACATTGTCTATAGTTGTGTTATAATAGTGGTTATGTGCACAGATTTGTGCGGAGTAGAGGATGTGTGAGAGGAGAGTGTGTGTGTGTCACTGTGTGTGTATTACAGGTTTCTATGTGTGTGTGTATTACATGCTTAGACTGTGTGTGTGTGTGTGTCAGTGTGTATGTATGGTATGTGTGTGTGTGTGTGTGTGTATGTATGTGGTGAAACACCAAACCAATGACCAACAATGTGCCTGAATCTGGACCCTAAAGATTTATCTTATCTTACCTCTGTTATACTGACGATACTGATACCGATTGATGATTAGTGTGACCAGATTGGATTGGCACAGGTCGATCAATGGCAGTGTCAAAACTACCACTGTGTTTTGGCTCTTCCAATGTCTGTGGCAAAAATAACTTTATAACGAAGTGACTATTTCTCAGAACGTTCGGGAAAATAAACTTGAACTTTATTTCTCCGAACGGTTTCCGTTCTTGAGATGTTTTGGTTATTTACGAGATTTAGGCGTCTTCTTTCATTCTGCCATTCTGCGAGGACTGGGAAAAGAAGCATTTTTTGCATCGAATTGAATTTCTAGAGCTGGAGATTTTTAAATCTCTGATTCAGATACTTCATTTGTAGTTGGGGCAACGTTCCCGGACTATACTTCATTTGAAAATACCTTCAAAAGGTACTGCGAGCAATAAAAAATGATCGACCTTGGCGGTAACTATTTTGCATTTAGTCACCCAAAAAAAACTAAAATCCTTCATGTAAAAAAAAAATCCCTCGCGCCCCCATGTCCCGTTCACACCTAACTCACACACAAACACACACATACGGGCCAATCCATTCGCAATTATTATCAACAAATCTCGAGAACGGAAACTGTTCGGAGAAATAAAGTTCAAGTTTATTTTCCCAAACATTCGGAGAAATAGAACCGGCCTAATAATAAACTATTTTGAAAGTCATTTTTTTGGCTTGAAATGAAATTCAATGAGCGGGGCATTTTGATTGGCCTAATGATGAATGGAAGGAAAGTAAGCCGTTACCCTAGAATGACAAGGTTCTGACTGCTTTGGAGTAGAAGAAGTTCGACTAGTTTTGAGAAATTCGAGGTTAAAAATTTTGAGTTTCACAAAATGTCAAGCTTTTTTCAATATCTTGTTATTGACTCCGAATAATCTTATGGTTTCAATAGAGCAGATAGAGCATTCGATTTCTGATCTCATGGTCTTAGTAGCTCAAAATGGCCAAAAATGTCAGAGATATAATTTTGCATTTCTGAGATAGCGAAGTTGGAAAAAACTGAAAAGGAATTGTTTTGTTCGGAAGACACAACAACGTGACGGAAGGAAAAAGAAAAATTATGTCAACGATCCTCTTTGATGAATGCGACCATGTTGTATGTAGTGTGCTTGTCATTGCTGTTTCCATGATCTCTATAGTAAAGGCCCCTCTCTAAGCTTTATCGTTATTTCACAGGTACTATGACCAGTTGGTGGCTATTGAGAACAAACTTCCTATTGCAGAAAATCAGGTAAGTGTATGCTGCATTAGACGGACTGGCTGTCTATGAATGTTGAGAATATGGTGAGCTTGACAACTGTCCCGATTTTCCTAGGACTATCCTGGACTTTGGGAAATTTGAGAGCCTTATCACATACACTGCTTTGCACCAAAACCAGTCCCTCTTGCTGTTATTTTTGTTTGTTGGTAGTCTACAGTATCTGATGTTATATCATTATAATGAGTCCAGGATTGGGGTTTGAAAATATTTGCAAGCCTGAAAGTGAAAGGGGGACATGATGGTCCAAAATTGACCAAAGCTTACAAGATGGACATTTTTACAGAAAAAGTCGGGCAGTTCGGTTCCAACAGTAGAAATAAGAAGCACATGTGTGTTATCGTGGTGAAATCAGGCGCTTGTCAACATACTGAAATCGAAGAAAAAGACTCAAGATTATTTGCTCCTGTCAGATAATTTTATTTGTTTTTTTTAAGCTAAACACCTTTTTTATTTTGTCTGTATAAAAAAAACACAGTCTGTGTGGGTATTACTATTACTGAAAGTAATTGATGTAAGGCACTCAGTCGTAAGGCCACCGGACTCGTAAGCGTGAGATTGCAGGTTCGGGGGGTCTGCCTGTCTCTCTCTCTCTCTCTCTCTCTCTCTCTCTCTCTCTCTCTCTCTCTCTCTCTCTCTCTCTCTCTCTCTCTCTCTCTCTCTCTCTCTCTCTCTTTCTCTCTCTCTCTCTCTCTCTCTCGCTGGCTCTCTCTCTTTCGCTCTCTCTCTCTGATGTAAATTTGCGCTTTCCAAGGATGCTGAAGCTGTGGGAGTCACAAAACTTTGGCGGCTTCTTATTTCTCGCTAATTTTATCTCTGGTTCTAGGTGACCCCATCTCCCTCACCCGTTATTTCTAGACTTCAGTTCAAGATAGATGTTGTTAGTTTTTTTCATCAAAGGAAAGAGAAATGAACAAAGATGATACCAATAGCAACTCCATATATATGCCCAAAAATTGAAGAGCTCCTGATTCCACCACATCGTGATACATTTTTTGGGAACGTAGTCCTTAACATTATTATCATATAACTTATGGTGAAAAAACAGTTTATCTAAAATGTGAGAGTGGTATCTTTTTTTTATGCTTTTAACCTGAACAACAATATTTTTCTTGGGCTATTAATATTATTATGTAACAATACTATTAGGCTTTCAGCCATTTTGGCAGTGTCTTTCAGTCTGTAGTTTCTGTGATGATGTTGAACCTTTTGTGTTTTTGTCTTGAACAGATTCGAGTGCAGTTCAAGTGGCGAGATGCTTTTGATGAAGGCTCTTTTCTCTCCGGCAAGAGAAATCTTGGTAATTAATGTCTTTTGCCGATAACTTTTTAGTTTTATTATTTCTAATCTCCTTGCAATCACTAGTCAAATTTTGAAATACCTTTTTTGTGTGCAAGTTAATAATTATAATTTTGCATTTATATAGTATATTGTACATCCATGCATTACAGGATGCTCTTTGCGCTTTACAAGTTAAATGTCTTTTTAGACAAAGACAAATCATTTCAAACTGGAACCTCAGGTTGTGATGTTTTAGAAATCTATTTGTTTTAGACAAAACTGTTCGCCTGCCTATGACCAGGAAGGCAAAGTAAGCGTCGAGAAAATATAGTTGAACCTGTTTTAACAACAGTCACCTGTATAAGACAATGACCTGTACAAATGACCGCTTCTCATCCTCCCCCCCCCTTTTATTTATTTTTTTTTGGGTTAAATTTTTTAAAATTATAATGCCACTGTAAAAAGAACACTTTTCTTCTCGACAGTGGGTGGCCATCTTAGACAGGTTCGACTTTATATATACAGTCCTTAATCCTTAGAGGTTGCAGGGCTTGAATTTCTCCTCTTATTCTGATGAACTGCACCTCCTGTATTGATGGGTGCTCCGGTGTCATTTGCTCCTTCTGTCCTATCAAACATCTATCATACTTTTAAATCCCTCTTCCTTTTCTTTGATTGTTACTCTTTTGTGACTTCTACTTTTTTCAGCACTTTATAACTATAACTAAAGAGGGTACTGTCTTTTTGAAATAAGAAAACAGTTCTTACTATCGTCATTTTCCCTCTACTTCTTTTGTATGTTTGTCACTCTCTTGTGAGCTGCTATTTCCGGGATACTTTGATAGTCGAAGCAGGTTTTGTGCTGTTGAGGCTAGAGAGGTGAGCAGAGCAAGCCCGATTCCTCGTTTGGACTTCTATGTTGACATCCAGCGCTTGGTGCTTATATGACCTTATGCAGTTGCGAGCCCCGTAAGAACCTTACGAAAAACGAAAAACAAAAGAAATAATTGTTCTTCCCCGTACCTTCCAGCCATCGCATCCGCGGCGTACGAGAAGGTGTGTGTCCTCTACAACATCGCGGCCCTCCAGTCTCAGATCGCCGCCATCCAGAACCATGACAACAACGAGGGCCTGAAGCTCACCGTCAAGTTATTTCAGGTATGCGGCAGGGTCGTTATATCTCCCCCGTTTTTGTTTTTTTACTTGTTTGTATTTTTTTTGGGGGGGGAGGGGGGGGGGTTGTGTTACTCTCTAGTTACATCTTTAATCTTTGTCTCTTACATGACCTTTTTGTGGTATAAGCACTGTAATGCCCTTACTGAAAGCAGGGTGGGGCTAGGCAGACCAGCCCCAAATATGCTTTAGTTGGTGGTTGGCAGGTGCTCTCATGTGGTTTGTTCCTTCTTTCTTTCAATATGTGAGGCAGCATGGTGGAATCAGGCTCTCGTCAAAATAATCAAAGTGAAGAAACTTGCATTTTTCCACAGGTTTGTGAATTTTTTTCAGATTTTTTTTTTGACTCAACACTTATCATGCCCATGAAAGAATCCATTTCTGTATGGATTTTTCTGAAAAAACATTGATTAAAGGCACAAATAATATAAATTTTCAGTTACCACGGACTCTTAAGCTAAAGAAATAACTTATCTTTGGAGGCCATGTTCTCACTAATCTTACCTCTGAAAACAGGTAACCCCACCCCCTTCATTTGCAAATATCTCGACTTGTATTCAAGATAAATGGATATTTTTTTCTCCTAAATAAAGACAAATGACCAGGCTTTAAGATGATGCCCAAAAATTGACGGAAGCCTGATTCTACCACGCTGCCTCACATATATCTTTTGTCGTTATCTCTCCTCTTCCTTTTTTATGTTTATATTACTCTCTAGTAGCAACACCTCTAGTCTTCGTTACTTGTGATTATGGAAAGCTATTTCTGTCACAAATACCGTGAAACTTATGTTATAGATAAACTAAACGAAACTAAATGTGCTCGAAGACGCTTGTATGTTGTAAAAGTTTGTTTTGTTTTTTTGGGTGGGGGGGGGGGGGGGGGGGGCCTGGTTCTGTTTTTTATTTTATATTTTTTTTGGGGGGTGACTTTGGTTACTTTATGCCGGAGACTCTGAATATGATCTTTTCACGTTTTTCTCTCTCTCTCTCTCTCTCTCTCTCTCTCTCTCTCTCTCTCTCTCTCTCCCTTCACCCTCCCCCCCCCCCCCTCGCGGCGCGGTGTGCAGCAAGCGTGCGGGATCTTCGGTCACCTGAAGGATGTGGTGTTGTCCCACGTGCAGCAAGACCCGACCCCCGACCTCAACCCTGACACGCTGAGCGCGCTCAGTGCCCTCATGCTGGCCCAGGCTCAGGAGTCCATCTACAGGAAGGCCACTCAAGGTCAGTGAGTCTCGTCGTCCGTGTTTCTGTGAGGCCACTCAAGATCAGTGAGTCTCATCGTCCGTGTTTCTGTTAGGTCACTCAAGGTCAGTGAGTCTCTTCGTCCGTGTTTCTGTTAGGTTTCTCAAGGTCAGTGAGTCTCATCGTCCGTGTTTCTGTTAGGTTTCTCAAGGTCAGTGAGTCTCATCGTCCGTGTTTCTGTTAGGTCACTCAAGCTTCTCTGTTGATACCCACCCCTTGGCGCTCATATGACCTTATGCAGCTGCGAGCGCCATAAAACTTTTAATTAGGTGGTTGGTGGGTGCTGTGGTGTGGTTTGCTCCTTCTTTCCTATAAAACAACTATCGTCTTTATCTCTCCTCCTTCTTTTTTATGTTTATTACTCTCTTGTAACACCTCTAATCTTCGGCACTTATATGACCTTATTGTGTTGCAAGTGCCGTAAAACTCTTACTAAAAAGAAACACAAAAAAAAACTTTTACTAAAACTAAACAGACTGTAGTTACCCTGACAAGAAGACCTATAGTAATCCTATCAAATTTTTCTCTCTTTCTGTCGCCAGACAAGATGAAGGAGAGCATGGTGGCCAAACTGGCGTACCAGACATCGGAGCTCTACTCGGACGCCATGAAGCTCATGCAGCTGGGCTCCATACGGGAGCTGTGGCCCAAGGTAGGAACACGATGGTGCACGTTACGTCACGCTCTCCCGTCTTTGTTGGTCACGGAAATCTTTCTGACTTTGAGGGGGGAAAAAAAGACGTGGTCTTTTGGTTATTTCTCCAGGCACATTCGCACGTTTTCTCATCTCCTACTTCATTACTTTCCCTCTGTTGTTTGTGTCTGTCTGTCTGTCTGTCTTACTGTTTCCCAACACTAAATGACCGTTAGTGTGTCGATGTGTGTGCTTCTCCTTACTCAAACAAACAAACACCAATCTGTGGGTGGTTGGCGGGTGCTCTGGTGTGGTTTGCTCCTTCTTTCCTGTCAAAAAAGAAGAAGGGGAGATAAAGACGATAGATGTTTATGTTTGTTACTCTCTTGTAACACCTCTATTCTTCTGGCGCTCATATGACCTCTACTAAAACTAAACTAAACTCCAGTCTTGGTGTGTTTCGTAGTTTTAGTCTGTGAGGAGTCGAGAAACTCCCCTTTTTTTTTAGTACTCCTATTTTTTATTTTTTTAGGAAGGATTTGGAAGAAAAGTGGGTGGGTGGTTGATGGGTGCTCTGGTGTGGTTTGCTCCTTCTTTCCGTGTTACGTAGTCTTAATCTACCAGGAGTCGAGAAACTCCCAATTTAAAAAATATTTTTTTAACTCTCCAATTATTTATTTTTTTTTGAAGGATTTGGAAGAAAAGTTCCTATTTTTTGCTCATGGAGTGGTGGACAGATCAGTGTAAAACTTGATGTGCCGTGTTGATTATCCCCAGGACTGGCTGCCCACGGTGGTGATGAAGCAGGCCGGCTTCCACGGCATGTCCGAGTTCTACCAGAGCTGCGTGGCGCAGCAGAACAAAAGCTACGGGGAGGAGATCGCCCGACTGCAGGTCAGTTCTCCGTCACGGCGGGAGGCGCATATATATAAACTTTGAATTAACATGTCCCTTTTATTTGATAATGATGATGGTAATAGAGAGCATTTGTATAGTGAGGGAGAGGGAGAGAGAGGG